AGGTACCAGAAACTTATCACGAATATAAAAAAATGACAGGCAAATTTTTTCGGACACACAATGCGGAAAGAAGCATTGGAGAACATTGTAACAACAGGAAAGTTTGATGGAAAGAGAGGTAGAGGCAGACAGAGGGAAAAGATACTGGACAAGATGACAACATGGCTGGGAGCAGCAAGAACAACAGACACCATTGCTGCTTCGAAAGACAGATGGAAGTGGAGGTCCATGATCGCCCACGCCAGTCGGCAAGGCACCGGATGATGATGACCAGAAACAAAATTTTCAAAGTAGCTGTATGCCAAATTTATCTGTTTCATTTGAAAGGCCTATATCCACTGAGCATTTTGGTACCATTCTTTAATCTCTCCGTCAATTTTTAAGAAAATTGTAGTTGTTTAAAATTTGATCAAATTTGTTAAAGTCAGTCACTGGCTGCAACCCCATGTTTGACAGACAATAAAAAAGTACCAAGAGCACTAAACATCTCCACATTAACAGAGTACAATCACTATAACAAATGTATGGAGCCTAATTTTTTTCAAGACTGTGAGATCATTACAAATCAGTATTTTATCGCCTCAAACACGATGATCTGTCGTTATTTCGACAAAAACACCGAGCGTTGACCCGGCCGGCGCCGCACCAGCCCCCGCGCGAGCGAGTCGGCTCTATACTGTAGTGTACCACGGATGCGGGGTCGCATGCTTTCTGAGTCTCGCGGAAGGATTGATGAAAAATAATTCCAAGTTAATTACTTTATTTTAATAGAAAGTAAACTGATCTTTTAATTATTATATTTTATAAGCCGGTATTTGACATATATTGTGTAAAAAGTGGTCTTTAAACATTTTGACAGTATTTTTCAAAGCTTTCTATTTAGACGCCAAAGGTTAAACCTATGTCACGGGAAAGCCCGTTTAAAGCTCTATAGTTCTCTGCCAATGAAAAGACGGTATTTAATCATCCCTCGTTCCGCGAAGCATTTGAATGCACGCGTATCAATTTTTCAACCAGCCGACCACGCATTCTGACTGCGAGGGGCTTCACTTTCGTCGGCGATTCTCCAGCTCCTAAAAATCGGACATATAAACAACTTACACCATTGTAACGAGGAAAAGCTGAGCTTTTACAAGGTGTACGGCACTTGGTGTTTTATAGCGAAAGAGCAAAGAAACAGGAATCACCCCGATTTATGAAAGGGACTGTTGATTGATTGTGCTTATAATGATATTAGAGTAACTCGACCACTTGGGGCCACGAGTGAACATTTCCCCCTAGCTAGCACTGCTTTTGCACTAAGCGATTCCCAACTTGATTTTTGTGGAGAAAAAAGCCGCAGAAAGGGCCCTGACCTGGCCGGGAATTTAAAGACTTCAAGTATAGAGTGCAGTGGGTGTTTTCTGCTCAACTTCGGCTTACTACTTGGTGCCCGGCAGCCCTGGGTGTGGCAGACGACGAGCCAATGATGCGGCCACCTGACTTGGGTGTGGCAGACGACGAGCCAACGATGTGGCCACCTGACTTAAGTGCGGCCGAATCCATGCCCGTTATGCGGCCAGGCGTTAAACAAGCTTCAAACACTTGAAAACATGACAAACAATGAAGGAAATCAATAACAAACGTATAAGGTGCAATTTGAAATATGGTAGGCCTACATTCAACTTTAATGAGATTCAACAGACTCCTGATCAGAGCCTGCAAACAAAATGGAAATCAATGACAGCGTGGATCTTGGAAAAAAGTGCAAGGATGGCAGATCTAGATCTAGATTACGTCTACTCTTGATAGGAGCAGAACGGACAAGTCTCACGTCTCTGACCTCAAGGTACGATCTCCACCGTCATGCCGACCAAGTGAATCCCCACTCTCGTGCGCAGTGTCTGGTTTTCTTTCCGCTTCAGCCAATGCTGGCATTTCGTTTCCAGTTCCGACCATTGTTGCAGTTCTCCACCTCTTCTTCATTCATCTCATGCATAGCATAATAATATTGTTCTCTTTCTACTCCAACCACTGGTCTTTTGTCCCCATCTCCGTCACTCTCAAGCATGTCTTCTCTTTCTGTTTCTTCTGTTTCAACCACTTGTCTTTTGTTTCCTATGCCTTCATTGTCAGCAGCAACACTGTTTCTATTTCTCTCCGTCTGTGGTCCGACTCTTGATCCTTCATCAAGTTCAAGGGTTTTATTGTCCATGTGTCATCTCCGGAGTTTCATGTCCTTCCACAACCCCGAATTCAGCGAACACGGATTCCTCATTCGAACATTCTTCTACCATAAAATCTTCCAACTGCAGGTCATCTTCATCAAACAGTATCATTTCAATTTCATTGATATCTGCACTTGTATCATAGTCTGAATAGCTCAACCTCTTCTGGATTTGTTTCTTTTCACTTTGAACTTCTTTTCTTTTGCTTCTTATTATTCTCCGTCCCCTTCTCCTTGGCTAGTCTCCTCTCTTCTTGCATCTTCTTTCTATTTTCATTCTCCACTTTGCTTCTTTAGCTCCTCTCGCTGTTTTTCTCTTTCCTTTCCCGTCTTCCATTTCTCCTCTTCCATTTTGGCTCTACTCTGCACACTTTTCTCATTTCCATCTCTGCTTTCCTTTTGATCTTTCTCTCCTTGTTGATTAGAGAGTATAAATTCTTGTCCACCAATGAGCGATGTTTTTCTCTTGTCGCCATTACTCCTGCGTTGCAAAGTAGGAAGAACGCAGGAATCTTTCAGTCTCAGATTGACTTGGCATCTCCCCATCCCTTCACTGACTGCTTGTTACACATTGTCTAAAGCTTCTTTTGTCCCCTTCGGTTTCCCACTCATTTTGAGACCTGGGAAAACACATTTTCTGGATAGATTAGTGTTCACTCCATGCCATACTTGAGTTTTTGTTTGAGTTGGCGTTTAACGTCTCTAATTAAAATCAGTAGGTCATTTAGGCAAATCAACGTTCAACGTGCTGTTACACTGGGATATGAAATGTAACAGAACTTATCCCATCCAGTCACAGTGTACTAACACCGGGCCAACCCGTCATAGCGCTAGTCCCAAAATACCCATGCCAGGTGGGACAGCTACTAGATCTAGATTGCCAGTTTTTTAAGTCTTAAGTACGTCTTGACCGCGGCCAGAGTCCAAAAATGATATTTTAAAGAAATTAATTACAGACATGTATAATTGGGGAAGGTGTGTTTAGTGATACATTTGATTTGTGAAGATGTGTTATTTTTGTTTACATAATACACTGTAGTGCAAGAAGTGGAAAGAGTGAAGTTGTCAGTAGCTCAAAGTATGAACCTCATTCTCCTTGCAAATGTTTCTTTGGTGTATAATGTTTGTGTAAGACCCCCCCCC